ATAAGAATCACATTTGACAACATAGCAGATCATACTAAAAAATTTAAAGTGATTATCCTTTACAAACAGCTTTTGGATTTCAATAAAACCTATGGTTGTACCCAGATGACTGGAGAAATCTACACTGAACAATTCAAAGATACTGTAGCCTGCCTATTTAAATATATTTTCTACTGGGGAAAATTGAATTTATGGATAAACTACAAAATAGATAATTATGTGCAATCCAATGAGTTAAATTTCCAAATATCAAGTGAAACTTGACGGTATAAGGAAGCAGAAAAATTGGTGATTTATAGACTGGTGACATTTAAATGTAAAGATTTAACTACTATAAATTGTTACACCAGAACCAAAACAAGATACCTCTATAAACAGGTGGTCTTTATATAGAGGTGATATTACTATAAATTGTTACACCAGAACCAAAACAAGATACCTCTATAAACAGGTGGTCTTTATATAGAGGTGATATTACTATAAATTGTTACACCAGAACCAAAACAAGAATTATTTATAGACATGTGGTCCTTATATAGAGGTGAGTGGCCATTTTATAGTGCAAGCCTTTTAGATAGGTTTGATTGTAATTCAGCAAATATTTTTTTTAATTTCACAGAAAACTTTATACAGCAAGGCATAAGGCATGCTGTTGTCTGTTTAACCTCTGTCCTAATTATATATCTCAAAATTCAACAAAAATACCATCAGGGAATTTTCCAATTAGTAAAATTTTTTAAACAGATTAAAATTGCTGACCAGAATAAGGCAAGGTGTTCCTGCCGTTGATAAATTTGTAAAAGAATTACATGCATTTTTATCAGCAGATATGCAGTATGATAACTAGTTATACAGCTAAACAGGAAACATTTTCATGCTTTTTAACTATCATGGGAGTGATTGGTTATGTTTTATCTCCGATATGTACCGTGTGTGATACAGATATACAGGCTTCCTCAGCAAACATACTTTATGCTTTCACTCTCTATTTTTCATCACACCAAGTATCATTACTGGGCAAAATAAAGAAATAAGAATATGGAATTTGATCTAGCAGGATAAGACATGAATACCAAATGTGATAAAATATCAGAAGAAACAAAACATGATGAAAACATCAGTAAAAATTGAACTTCTAAGATACAAAAAAGCATAAAGCAAGATTAACATGTGAGAAAAAAAAGATAGGAAAAGATGATATACTTGGGAAAATGTGTGATATTATAGATGTAAAAGAGCAAATAATGTAGGAACCCTGGTAGTTTGGTACACCACAGACAGTTTATTATCATGTCAACGTGGCTCACAATAGTCAGTTTATCAGCAAAGGATTTCTGTCTTATTCTCAGGGATTTTTAAAAAGATCAGTTTGTTTGAGATTATTTGAAAAGAAAGTTTTCCGGCAATATTCTTATGACAAATTACACATTGAATACAATAAAATACCAGGTAAAATAGAAAATTGGGGGGGGAAAGTGAAACTTCCTGAAAATGTAGGATTAGAACAAAATACAAGGAAATATATGAAACAGTAAAATATCATGAAAAATGAATTTAACAAGGGAAAACAATGTAAAAGAACATTTTGAAATAATGGGAAAAGTGTTTGATAACATAATAAAATGTCTGAAATTGTACAACATTTTAGAATAGAATTCCTGTAAAGAAAAGTCTGGGAAAAGGTTTTAGAAAATAGTGCATTGTAGGATATTAGAAGAAACATGAGAAAATCACCAAAAGTCACCAGAATCTAGAGACCTTGCATTAGATGTCATTCATCAATAGTTAGAGCACAAATGTTGAATGTTTTATGATAATCCTATTTTGTCAGCTTTGGGAAGGAAATACTCTTTCATACATAGGAATAAAGGATTGGTATATTGCAGTGTTGGTATTGACTAATATCTGTCACCGACAGCCATGGCCTGCTGAAAATCATCCATTTGATGATAAATTATCACAAGTCTGTCTCTGTTATCACACTGAGTTACAATAAATACAGTGTGGCTGGCAGACCTAAACTCTGCATTATGATGTCAACTCTAAAACAATCAACAAATGGCTTTAAAGTTGATGGAACAGTTAAGATTATGGCTAACTACACCACAATGTTGGGAAGGTTTGGTTACTTACAGCCCTGTGTCCTACACAGCTGGTACACTGTAAAATCATATAGATTTTCATGGGGGCTCAAATTTTGTGGTTTTTCTAAAAACATATTTTATATTTCCACTTGATTTTGTGGTTAAATCTTGCCCACTAAATCTGATAGCACTACAATGCTTGTTGACATGTATGCATTCATTATTTCCTGGACATATATATTTGTGGTAAGTGGAGTACCCAGGAATTCAACTGAAATAAGTCATCCACGAAAATTAAGGATTTCACGGTAGCAGTTAAGATTCAGGACATGGCAAAAGCAGCCCTTTGTTGTTACATCATTTAGTTAAATGACAAAGTGAAAACGCATTAAACTAAACGGGACATTTATTGTTGGTAGAGATTATGGTAAATAAAGGGAGTTGGTCACGCATCGTAGCGGGTGTAGTTAATGAATACCACAGCATTTTATCATCTACAATTTGGATGGCAGGTACAGCAATAGATTTGGCCACATTCCAAAACTGACAATACTATCATTTCTTACTTGTAACCATTTTGTCTCTTTGAAAATAAGGTGCTGCTTACTGAAGAGAAAATGATGGTAAAGACTGATAATTGTAAGCCCTATATATTTGGTTTGATATTTTGTAGAAGGTGACTCTGAATTGTCAAACACATATATATATGATCTTGGCAGAGGGAAATGACCAACAGAATCTCAAATTCACAACTTAAGTGTAGTCTTAAATGCAGGAGATGTCTGACAAGTGGGAATATTTCTAATTCACAACTTCTGTGTGATTTTAACTGATAAAAATGTTAGACAGGTGAAAATATCTCTAATTCACAACTTATGTGTGATTTTAACTGATAGAAATGTTAGACAGATGGGGATATCTCTAATTCACAACTTATGTGTGATTTTAACTGATAGAAATGTTAGACAGGTGAAAATATCTCTAATTCACAACTTCTGTGTGATTTTAACTGATAGAAATGTTAGACAGATGGGGATATCTCTAATTCACAACTTATGTGTGATTTTAACTGATAAAAATGTTAGACAGGTGAAAATATCTCTAATTCACAACTTCTGTGTGATTTTAACTGATAGAAATGTTAGACAGATGGGGATATCTCTAATTCACAACTTCTGTGTGATTTTAACTGATAAAAATGTTAGACAGATGGGGATATCTGAAATTCACAACTTATGTGTGATTTTAACTGATAGAAATGTTAGACAGATGGGGATATCTCTAATTCACAACTTATGTGTGATTTTAACTGATAAAAATGTTAGACAGATGGGGATATCTGAAATTCACAACTTATGTGTGATTTTAACTGATAAAAATGTTAGACAGATGGGGATATCTGAAATTCACAACTTATGTGTGATTTTAACTGATAAAAATGTTAGACAGATGGGGATATCTCTAATTCACAACTTATGTGTGATTTTAACTGATAAAAATGTTAGACAGATGGGGATATCTGAAATTCACAACTTATGTGTGATTTTAACTGATAGAAATGTTAGACAGATGGGGATATCTCTAATTCACAACTTATGTGTGATTTTAACTGATAGAAATGTTAGACAGGTGAAAATATCTCTAATTCACAACTTATGTGTGATTTTAACTGATAGAAATGTTAGACAGGTGAAAATATCTCTAATTCACAACTTCTGTGTGATTTTAACTGATAGAAATGTTAGACAGATGGGGATATCTGAAATTCACAACTTATGTGTGATTTTAACTGATAGAAATGTTAGACAGATGGGGATATCTGAAATTCACAACTTATGTGTGATTTTAACTGATAAAAATGTTAGACAGATGGGGATATCTCTAATTCACAACTTATGTGTGATTTTAACTGATAAAAATGTTAGACAGGTGAAAATATCTCTAATTCACAACTTCTGTGTGATTTTAACTGATAGAAATGTTAGACAGATGGGGATATCTCTAATTCACAACTTATGTGTGATTTTAACTGATAGAAATGTTAGACAGATGGGGATATCTGAAATTCACAACTGTAAGTGTGGATTTAACTGTGGAGTATCTGAACTGGAGCATCTTTCAGAAGTTATCACAAGAAAAAAAAAATTAACTGATGGTAACAGAGCTTGTTTAATTGGTAAAGACATTTTGCTGATGAAGAAAATCTTGAACAGAATCAGAATATTGTGATGGACTCTTCATAGCTTGTTCCATTAACAGATAACTGAAACTCTGTTAACATCAGTACATTTCAGATATCGGACAAATCTTTGGTGCACAAAACAGTGTGTTGTCAGCACACATTGTTCTGACTCATAATCTGTATCAGTCAGGTAAGAAATAGACAATGCTCTGCTCATTCAACGCCATTACTGTATGTCGTTAACCCTAATCCCCAGACTTAGGTAGGCAGAGTGCTTCTGCTCTAAAAGTCCCACAGACACAATTTTTGTGTATGTAAAAATAAACCTGTCAAATTTCATCTTGAAATTGAATTTGGAATTAGATTCTTGAGTAATAATCCTCTTGCTATATAGAATTGTTGAAGATGCTGAAAGTTAGTTCATTTGAAATTTTCAGATATCATTTTAATGTTTATCAAGGAATTCTAAGGGAGACAATGTACTGAGAATTAACAATTGACCTTTGCTTGTGTAACTGGGTTTTAACCATAAGGTGTGATAAGGCTTTATACACGAGATGAAAAAAAAGTTTGGACTTTTTTTTCCAGGTGAAGGTGATTTAAATTAGAACAGTGCTTCTTTGAAACTTGTTGTAATTATGTTTTATGGTAGACACAATGTTGTTACTGAAACAATAAACAGTATATTATGTAATGCCAAATAATGTGATAACCATTGACAATATGTTTTGCAGGCTATAGAGGAAGTCCAGCTGGAGAGTAAGGTTGGAAATTTAGAAATGGCAATGCACACAGATGAAACAGAGGATGGACAGACCCCTCAGCAAAGTGAAACTACTACAACGGACCACGTAACCAGAGCTACAGACACTCAGGACAGAGTCAACAGATTTGTGGGTCATGTGAAACGAACACGCAAAAGACAGAGCATCGCTGAGCTGAACGAGAGTATTTCTGAGTCTCATGTCCACCTACAAAGACTGGAAGGGGAGATAAGTCGTTTACAACATGATAGACGAGGAGAAATAAGAGAGTTACATCAAGATAGTAACCAAGGGAATACACAGGCGGAAACTACCAATATAATATACCACTTGGAAATGATTCGGAAACAGCAAGAGCAATTGGTGTTACTGGAACAACAACTCCAGGAGCAGCTGACCATTCAAGCCCAAACCCACCAGCAGGGTCAAGGTGAAAGTCATCACACCATTTCTGACTGTGATTCTCTTAATGGAAATAACTTAACAAAGGAAAGTGTTGCTAGGTCTCAAGGTTCTCTTGCAGGTCAAAGTACCAAATTGTGTGACATGATGGTGTACAGTGGTTTTGAAAACAACAATTTGATTGTGAATTCAGCTGACTTACCAGTGACTGTGACTCCACAGTTCACGCCAAGAGACTGTGATACAACCAAACAATCCTCAAATAAACACATGCTGGCCCGAAACATGGACACATGGACATCCCCAATGTGGAGACAGCAGGGCCTTCAGGTGACTTCCCAAAGTCACCAAACCCCATCATCACAAACTTTAACAGAAATGACCACAGTGAGTGTGTGTGGCACTACTCCTACTGTATGTGAGTGTGAAGCTGAGCTACCTTGTCCAATCGACTTGTCATGTCGTAGTCCGATGCCAACGAGGTCAGCTGTGTGTGACTTGCCTAACCAGGGCGAAACATTGGACAATTCATCAATGTTTCAGTCTCCTTACCGCACAGCCTTTTGTCCTACCACACCTAGTATAGGCAACATGAACTCGGCCTTCACGTCGGTTGGTGAGTCTTCTTCACTAGGTCTGGGCAGTCCCTTCAGGTCATTGTCACTCAAGGCCAGCGTGATGGCCAGTCCAGCAAGGTCAAGTCCCCTACGCATGATGCGAAGGGATGAAGAGAGTTTACTGCGCATGGTCAGTGTTCGAACCAATGAGCGCTACCTTGAAGCTCTGCTAGACGAGGAATGTGCCCTGTATGCATATCGGCTTCAGACACTGCGCACTGAAGAGGAAAACCGAATGGACATCACCAATCCGGTGGCAAGGGTCTTGTCTGAAGGTGATGATATGGTAAGTTTCAACAACTGTATGCTTGGCTACTTACTGGTAACAAGTGTCCTACTCTGTATACAGTTAGATCTCTGTCCTTCCAGTCCCAGTTCTGCTTGTCTCTGTGCCTGAATGAAACGCTGTATCTGACTATGTGGCCATGGTTTTTGTACCCATTATTTTACCCAGTAAACCAACACCTACTCACCCTCCCAACCCTGTAAGGCTAGCATAGACTTCATGTTTAGTGCTTTTGTTGTTGGATTGATGCCATCAGATGTTCAATGTTTACAGTTTAAGGTCAAATCTTGTGTACAAGATAATTCATGTGCTCCTCTGAAAACTTAATTCTAATTTTACATCTTAAATTAATTAGATTTCAGTGACAAAAGTTAGATTTGATCAGTTATGAAGAGAAATAATCACAAAAACCAGCAGGATTTGCCAGGAGTACATTTTGACATTTGATCATAACAGTTTCAAAAATAGCTGCAATTTTGTCACAAACTGCTGCCCAAACTAGATAAAGTTTTACTCATTCTTTAATTTTAGCATATTGTATCTATATCAGAGATGTGGCAGTCTGTTGGTTCTGTACCATAGAGTCTAAATACTGACTCATCACACAGCAGATTTCATTGTTCAGTCCTGTTTGTTTACATTTTGTTCTCCACTCAATCATTATCTGATTGGAGTTTATGTCATTGTGTTAGCGAGTCTTCTGTTGTACGACTGACTGTCAGAACCAACTGTCATATGGCTCACGGTTTTCATTACTGGTGTGTGTTGTGCCCACTGCAGTCGTTCATCTTCACTTATTGTCAGTTACCTGCTTTACAGAACTTCCTAATTTGATATATTCAGAATGGTAGATGAGGATCTCATTAACATGCCTGTCCTATGTAAACTTTCTGTGTTCACACTAATATCTCCACTAGGGTTCAGGACAAACAGCTTTTATTTAAATATGATACTGTCCCCATCACTCTTGATAACCTTTACCTAGTCCCAACTTCATCCTTAAACATTCTGTCCCCATCACTTCCTAGTCCCTGCTGTACATCTGTAGTTCCCAATGTATCTTACTATAACCCTAAACATTGTCCCTGTCCCCATCACTTCCTAGTCCCTACAGTACATCTGTAGTTCCCAATGTATCTTACTATAACCCTAAACATTGTCCCTGTCCCCATCACTTCCTAGTCCCTGCTGTACATCTGTAGTTCCCAATGTATCTTACTATAACCCTAAACATTGTTACTATAACCCTAAACATTGTTCCTGTCCCTATCACTTCCTATTCCCTACAGTACATCTGTAGTTCCCAATGTATCTTACTATAACCCTAAACATTGTTCCTGTCCCTATCACTTCCTAGTCCCTGCTGTACATCTGTAGTTCCCACTGTCCCTGTAACTATACCATTCCTAGACTGTACTTAACCTCAACACATCAAATACCCAATGTAATCCTTACAGTTCTCATTTCTGTCTTTGTTACTTAAATAGATTTGTAAGCATTCAGAGGAAGTTGTATAAAATGATGAAAATGATGATTGATTTGGCCCATGCCTACTGACAGAATAAGGAATGCTGAAGGATCTGGCAACAAGTTCCCATCAATGACATGTTTAACCTTTATGACTGAATGACACTTGTAAGCTGTCCTTCTCCCCAAAGTCTGTGCCAGCTTCACTCTACAAACTCCTGAAGTCTGACTGCTTGATCAGTGCCCCTCTTGACGTCCTGTCAGGTCATCTTAGATACATCTTCATCATAATCTAAAGACTGTTTTTCTATACCTTCTAAAATTAACTACTTTCTAGGAAAGACCTGTGAAAATTATTTTTCTGTAGTTTTTTTCTCCCCACAAATATATTTCTTAGCCTTGGCACTGTCTTTAAGTGACAGTCTGGCTCCTTGAAGTACTCTCACAGTGTCTATAAAACAGGCCTAGTGTAGGATTGTTTTGGTTCTACATATGCAGTTACTCAATGAACGACCTTGGCAATATATATACCTAGTCAGCATTACACTATGTTAACTTATTGAAGGTGTGGGCCTGCTAATCCTATTTCACTTCAGTCTGCAATATTTTACAATACAACTTTTTCTGGATAAATAGCTTCCCATGCTTTATATCTCCAAATCACAATCAATAATCCAAATTTTTCTAACTTGCACTAACAAGCCCATGGTATTTGTGTCTCCCATAGATATCAGGATATATTGAGTCTGTTTAGTGGTTTGAGTAGTGAACATGACAGTATGTATCTTGAAGTGCCAGTCAGCACTTAATCCTTGGTTAATAAGGCTATAAGTGGGCGATAATCACGACTTAATTTGCTCATTTAGCATTTCTCCATCATGACATGGAATTATGACTGTGCTGTCTGTAGCCGTGCCTAAGATCTGTGTGATAATGTGCAGGATGGGAGAGAGAGAGATGCTGCAGTGTAATATACAAGGCTTGATGCTGGTACTGGGAGGGAGAAGTGGTGCTAGGCTTATACAGAAAAGCAATAGAGACTTGTGTGTTAGTAGGTATGATAGAGAGCAGGTAAACACATGTTGGTTAGATGTTGTTTACATTGACTGGGGAAGGAAACACGACCTGGCAAATTCTTAAATTCATATGAAACAGGTCAATGAAAGGTAGAAAGAGTTCAAGTGATATTCAGAGTTATGAAAGGGAGTTATGTGGATGGTAGAGTGTAGGGGAGGTGGGGGTGGGGAGGGGGGGGAGAGAAAGAGAGACCGAAGGATGGTAGAGTTTAGGGGAGAGAAAGAGAGAGACAGAAGGATGGTAGAGTTTAGGGGATAGAAAGAGAGAGACAGAAGGATGGCAGAGTTTAGGGGAGAGAGGGATGAATGGTAGAGTTTAGGGAAGAGAGACAGAAGGATGGTAGAGTTTAGGGGAGAGAGACAGAAGGATGGTAGAGTTTAGGGGAGAGAGGGATGAATGGTAGAATTTAGGGGAGAGAGACAGAAGGATGGTAGAGTTTAGGGGAGAGAGACAGAAGGATGGTAGAGTTTAGGGGAGAGAGGGATGAATGGTAGAGTTTAGGGGAGAGAGACAGAGGGATGGTAGAGTTTAGGGGAGAGAGACAGAAGGATGGTAGAGTTTAGGGGAGAGAGGGATGAATGGTAGAGTTTAGGGGAGAGAGACAGAGGGATGGTAGAGTTTAGGGGAGAGAGACAGAGGGATGGTAGAGTTTAGGGGAGAGAGACAGAGGGATGGTAGAGTTTAGGGGAGAGAGACAGAAGGATGGTAGAATTTAGGGGAGAGAGACAGAAGGATGGTAGAATTTAGGGGAGAGAGACAGAAGGATGGTAGAGTTTAGGGGAGAGAGACAGAAGGATGGTAGAATTTAGGGGAGAGAGACAGAAGGATGGTAGAGTTTAGGGGAGAGAGACAGATGGATGGTAGAGTTTAGGGGAGAGAGTGATGGATGGTAGAGTTTAGGGGAGAGAGACAGAGGGATGGTAGAGTTTAGGGGAGAGAGACAGAGGGATGGTAGAGTTTAGGGGAGAGAGACAGAAGGATGGTAGAGTTTAGGGGAGAGAGACAGAAGGATGGTAGAATTTAGGGGAGAGAGACAGAAGGATGGTAGAGTTTAGGGGAGAGAGGGATGAATGGTAGAGTTTAAGGGATAGAAGGAAATAGATGGATAGTAGAGTAGAGAGGGAGAGACAAAAGGATGGTATTGACAAACAGAAGAACTGTAGAAGGAAGGGGGAAAGAGAAGAAGAATGGTAGAGTATAGGGGAGAGAGGGAAATCAATCTATGGATGGTGGAATGTAGGAAAGAGAGACATATTGAAGAGTGTATGGGAGAGGCTGGTACACAGAAGGATGATAGAGTGTAGGGGAAAGAGAGAAATGGACAGATGGTGGAGGGTAATGGGAGAGACATCAGGGTGGTAGAGTAGAGTGGACAGATGGGGATGGTAGAGTATAGTGGACAGATGGTGGAAGGTAAGGGAGAGACATAAGGGTGGTAAAATATAGTGGACAGATGGTGATGGTAGAGTATAGTGAACAGATGGTGGAGGGTAAGGGAGAGACATAAGGGTGGTAGAGTATAGTGGACAGAGGTGGGTGGTAGAGTGTAGTGAACAGATGGGGGGTGGTAGAGTATAGTGGACAGATGGGGATAGTAGAGTATAGTGGACAGATGGTGATGGTAGAGTATAGTGAACAGATGGTGGAAGGTAAGGGGAGAGACATAAGGGTGGTAGAGTATAGTGGACAGATGGCAGTGGTAGAGTATAGTGAACAGATGGGGGTGGTAGAGTATAGTTGACAGATGGGGTTGGTAGAGTATAGTGGACAGATGGGGATGGTAGAGTATAGTGGAAAGATGGTGGAGGGTAAGGGGAGAGACATAAGGGTGGTAGAGTATAGTGGACAGATGGGGGTGGTAGAGTATAGTGAACAGATGGGAGTGGTAGAGTATAGTGAACAGATGGGGATGGTAGAGTATAGTGGACAGATGGTGGAGGGTAAGGGAGAGACATCAGGGTGGTAGAGTATAGTGGACAGATGGGGATGGTAGAGTATAGTGGACAGATGGGGATGGTAGAGTATAGTGGACAGATGGGGATGGTAGAGTATAGTGGAATGATAGGGAGGGTAAGGGGAGAGACATCAGGGTGGTAGAGTATAGTGGACAGATGGGGATGGTAGAGTATAGTGAACAGATGGGGGTGGTAGAGTATAGTGGACAGATGGGGTTGGTAGAGTATAGCGGACTGATGGTGGAGGGTAAGAGGAGAGACATCAGGATGGTAGAGTATAGTGGACAGATGGGGATGGTAGAGTATAGTGGACAGATGGTGGAGGGTAGAGTATAGTGGACTGATGGTGGAGGGTAAGGGAGAGACATAAGGGTGGTAGAGTATAGTGGACAGATGGTGGAGGGTAGAGTATAGTGGACTGATGGTGGAGGGTAAGGGGAGAGACATAAGGGTGGTAGAGTATAGTGGACAGATGGGGAGGGTAGAGTATAGTGGACTGATGGTGGAGGGTAAGGGGAGAGACATCAGGGTGGTAGAGTATAGTGGACAGATGGGGATGGTAGAGTATAGTGGACAGATGGTGGAGGTATGATAATATACACTCAATAAAACATGTTCAGTTATCAAATTTTTACATATTTAAAATGAGGAAATCTTTCCTCCTCAAAAATGCATTTCATGTCCCAGATTAATTCTGTTGTTTTTGGTTTGCAGCATTTTGTGCCAATCATGGAAGAAGGCCCGCATGCCATCGGTTTGAGAGAAAATTCAGCATTCTGCTGCTATGCCAGATGAGGATAGGGAGCTCTGAAAAAGAGGAAATTAGCAGAAACAAGGACAGAGGAGCAAAGAATTTAATTCTGTGAAGGAAAGGAAATATCACAAACCTCATAAAATCATGGTCCTAAGTTTACATACCGGATCATGAAAGGTCATTTATCCAAACTTTGATCAGGTCAAGTGTCAAAACCCTTATAAGTTTTTGATGGCATGCAACCTCAAGTGAGGTTCTCCATCAGTAAAAATGGCAAATGGGTTACACTGTGATTTCTAAAAAGGGAAGTGCTTCCGAAGTGGCAGTGCTATTGTCTCTGGCCAGCACTGAATCCAAACAGCTCTATGGTCAACTTATTTTTACAGAGGTGGAAATTCTGTTTGAAGTGAGGCGGGATTTATATCATACTACAAAAACAGCAGAGAATCCTACAGATCTGATTTGTCAAAGTGTGTGAGAATGACTATTGGATATATTACCAGAGAGGAAATACAACACAGTGTCAGCAATATCAATTAGTGGTGGCAGAAGTTCTAAAACCCAATCAGGTCATCAACAAACAATGCAAATTGTGGCAAGATTGTGCCATTATACCACATCAACATCGCAAATTAAGTGTTTTAATTTTCAAAATCAACATTTCATTTCATTAGATCAATATTTTACTTCATGGTATCTACACTTATGGCATATTATATATCTGTGTGTAATACTGCTTTGTTGTATACATTTAATATGTATATATATGCAAATGAATAGACTTCCATTTTTGAAAGAAACAGCCAAATTAGGTCAAGACCTGACCACTAAACCACTGAGTGGAAGTAGAACTGCAGAGATTTTAGATTTGTGATTTTAGAGATGGATACACGGGTGTGGAATCGATAGACTTTGCATCGTTGTGGTCATGGAAATGTTAAGTTACTGATTGGTTGGTTGATGTCATGTGATTAACATACCTCATATAAATAGTTATGTATTTTACCCCAAGTTATCTCCCTTGACAGTTTTCTCCTTTTCATTTTAAATGTAATATAACCTGCATTGGACAGGTTGTAAGAGATTTTTTATTTCTGTTTTTTTTTTTTTTTTTTTTCAAAATCATTTTCTCAAAAGCTATTACTTAGAAGTGTGTTTCACTGTGTTGATAGTGGAAATTTCAGCACATATATCATCATATTGTAGACAATAATGTGTAACTATTGTATAGTGTGGTTTACATTTACAGAAAGACAACATTTTCCAGTCCCAGCGTCAGTCATAATGTGATTACCACAATGAACTCACTGAATATTTCCATTTCCATTGTCAAATTGGATCACCTCGTCCCCAGTTGTTATTGATCAGCCTACCCCCTGAAAATGGTCAGTGATCAACCACCTTGATTGCCCGACCTGAGTGACTGACCACCTTGTTTGCCCTACCTGAGTGACTGACCACCTTGTTTGCCCTACCTGAGTGACTGACCAACTTGATTGCCCGACCTGAGTGACTGACCACCTTGATTGCTCTACCTGAGTGACTGACCACCTTGATTGCCCAACCTGAGTGACTGACCACCTTGTTTGCCCTACCTGAGTGACTGACCACCTTGATTGCCTGACCTGAGTGACTGACCAACTTGATTGCCCGACCTGAGTGACTGACCACCTTGATTGCTCTACCTGAGTGACTGACCACCTTGATTACCCGACCTGAGTGACTGACCACCTTGATTGCCTGACCTGAGTGACTGACCACCTTGATTGCCCCAACCATAATGACCAACTACACTGATTTCCCCACCTGAGTGACTCACCACAGGAATTGCCCCACCCATAGTGACTCACCACATTGTATGCCCTACCCCAGTGGCTGACCACATGGATTGCCCAACTCGACAACATGGATTGCTCCACCTGAGTGATTGGAGACATAGATTGTTCCACATGAACAACTTATCACAATGATTGCCCCAACTGAGTGATTGACCTTACACATTGCCCTATTCATATTGTGTATAATGACCTCTGAAACCAAGAGACCATATCTATCATGTCACCGCTGGTCCACACTGAGTCCACCTTATCCATGATCCTTGTTAATTTCCCTATCATCCTCATTGATGCCCATCATTGATTGCTCCACCCCCATATTCCACACTGTTAGCTCCACCCCCATCGTCCACATTAATCGCCCCACCGCCATCATCCACATTAATCGCCCTACCCCTATCGTCCACATTAATCGCCCCACTGCCATCATACACATTGATTGCCCCAAACCTCATGGTCCATATAAATTGTGTCACACTTGTTCTCAACATTGATCGGCCCCCTTCTCCCTACTTTGGTATTTTTAGTTTTTTTCCTACCCCTTTGTTATCAATGGTCACATGTTAACCCCACTCCCATCCCCCATTGGCCCATTTTCTTGTATGTTATATACCGTTGACAGTAGGGCACTTTGTATATAAGATTGTGTGACTATCCAGTATATAGAAGACTTGTGATAATAGACATGTATTCCGAGGCCTTAGTTTGACTAGTTGTGTTGGTATACTAGTTATGTGTCGTGATACCCTCGTATCCACCATGATGTTGTTGTTAGTCCCTCCCACACACACACTGGTTTTAGGGATTTTATGTCTCTTAATTTTATATATCTCTGTCAATAAGCCCAAGCCCGGTAATAGGCCCACCCAAAGCCGTTTTATACTGTTATTAACATATAAACCAATGTGAAACAATTCGTCACTTACTAAAAATAATCACAATTGGTAATGAGACAGATCTTGTCTTTTAATACTGTTGTATTGAACACATTGTACATAAGAAGTACTAATACCATATGAATATGAATATTTTTTTCCTTACAGAACGAAATCCCCAATGTACAATTTCAAATAAATTATTGTTAAACTTTCAAAAGAAAGTCATATTTAGTATAGTAAAACATTTAGCTTTCTGTAATACTTTTCATTTCATGTTTATTTAATTTTCATATATGTTCTAAGATAAGCATAGGATTCATAGATAAATATTACATGTATATAGATTACATTTTAATATTGAAACAATGATAAAACCAAAATACGCATTATACCACAATCCCAGCTTAGATAGGGTGTCAATGTTCATGTATTTTCATCTCCTTCATAATTTTTTCTTTTCTTTTTATTTTAATTCATCAACTAGTATGATAGTGTTCTCTCTTGCTCACATAAAAATGTACAGGAAAACTTTTTTCATAAAAAAGTTTGTTTTGATGTGAACATGAAACGTTATTGATTGATTAAACTACCGCAGTGAGAAACGCCCCAGATATACGATGATGTTGTACGTAGATTATGTAACGTATTGCCTTAGATTTGGTGAATTATTGTTACACTGTTATTTTCGACATGGTGGTATTTTGTGTGTGAAACAATATAACTACACTCAAACTTACGAACACATGGTCTCGAAGGCTTCATTTTATCTGAGGAACTTCACAAGTAGTGTGCTGTAACAATTCATATAAATGTATATGCCATTTCCCTTCTATGAAAGTCAATTCTCCTTCTGTATATTATGATAGGGCAATGTTGTACACTGCAGCATTAGTAAAACAGAGAATTTCGGTTCAAGATTATTTTGCCAAATTGCAAACAACTAATTGTACTTTCTTTTTTTTTTTTTTTTTTTATAAATTATGGACAAAGACAATTGTATGTAGTCAAATGTATTTTCATACCTTTGTCATTATAAGTAATTAGTAATTTGCAGGTATATGTAGCTCTCTCTCAAGTAAAATGTAGGTGCACTTGCATGTGTTATGGTTTTTTCTGGGTGAGTTATAGTTAGGTTGTAAGCCAGGTAATGTGTAGGTACCTCATTATCCAGGTAAATGGTTGATATGTGGTTATATAGGTAAGTAAGTTGGTTAGTATATTTTTTACTATTTTCATCATTATTATTGTGAGAATTATTGCTGTTTGTGAGTACGGTCAAATTTCTGTGATATATATATACATACAAGGTTTATCGTTATATATCATACCAAGTAGATTTGGCATTTACTTTGTCGTGGAGGACAAAAGATTTAGATATGCCAGCTGCTGTATTCTATATGGTGTCATTTTCAAGGTAAATGTGTAGTGTAATTAATCCCAGACAAAATGGCAAAGGCTCATGACTGAAAAGAACTTACTGTAAAATCAGTCATTTTCATCAAAGATTTTATTTTATTTTATTTCTGGAGTATTTTAATCCACAAATTAATGTGCCCACTGAATGATAAACAATTGAAAAATTAAAATAATATTTGAAAATTGAATTTCTTATATTGATTGATTTTGTTGGTACCATTTATGCCTGAAATTGGCTTTTGCAAATGAATTTTATTTATTTATCTATATATGTTTTTTTCTTTTTCTCAGAGCCGCAAAATTTGAGCCCCCAATAAAATGTAAGATTTTATATATACACCGTACTCTCAATATAGCATATCAGACAGACATGAAGGATGTATCTATTATATGTCTCTTATTTTTCATTCTTTGTCAAAACATTTGATCTCAATATCAATAAGGCAGTTATTGAAATAGAGCGTAACATCATATTTGAAAATCTATGAAAATTGATTCTTGCCAAGTGGTTGTGGCGTTACAAAATCTCTACTAAATGTTATGTAACACAGAAGGTATATCTTATCAACTTTGTATGTTATTAGGAACAAGTTTCTGATCTATTATCAAGCAATATTGGACTTAACCTTTGTTAATGTTGATTTTGTCAGGAGACGGTCCCTATTTGCTGGATTATTATTGTAGAATATGTGAATTTATCATTGATTAGGTTCTGTTTTAGTTACAGGGAAGCTGTTTTACACTATATATACTAACACCATTGAATTGTGTTATTTGTACCACTGCATAAAATTTGAAGTAAAATTTGGATTCGTTCAGATATATAGTATCTTAAGACAGATATGTAGCTTAAGACAGATATGTAGCATCTTAAGAAGTACAGGTACTTTTTTTTTCACTTCTGCCCCATTTGTGGTAT